ACTGCAGTGGACCCTGCTATGTCTAGGCCTATTAAGAGAGAAATTAACACAGGGGCCCGCCTGGGCCTTCCCTGATTATTGATAAGTTGCAGGTGTTCTCTTCCTCCTTCTCTACTGTGTATCAGTACATGGGGGAGAACATGTTCCAAGACACAAAATTCTCAGACTTGCTGATTGTCCTGGTCTTGCATTCTACTCATGGCCATACATTTGGTCAAACACTTAGTGCAGGCAAACCAAGATTCCCCTGGCACCTTCAAATAAGATGCTTCTCCTAGTGACAGTAAACTGATTTTGTTAAACTGTTGAGAAGTGTCACAGAGGGAAGAATAGGGGGACTTGTTCAGCCTATAGCTGGGAAACATGAAACAAAACCTGCTCCCAGTCAAATTCCCTAAGGTCAGGGAGGTGGCTATGAGATCAAGAGGCAGTCAGAAAGATTGGCTGGGAATGGGTTATTTATATGTCCTATTCGCATCTTGGAAGAGGGAAAGGTATGGAACACTCAGCGCTCTTATGCCTTTCTTTTCGTCCCAAGTGGGTGTCAGCAGATGGGACTTGCCAGATGAACTGCGGGTCCACCAGCATGTGGGCATGCCAGAATTTTTAAATGCTGAAATGCTTGGCCTCATCTTCAGGCTGAGTGCTAGTGTGTTGAGTCAGTTTTATGCTGGAAATTATGATGGCCTCTTGCATCTTGAGGAGGGACAGGTATGGAGCACTTGGTGCTCTTATGCACCTGCAGCCCTGGGCCTGCTTTTAATTGTTTTTGGTCAAATACTTCTAGGTGGTATAGCACTGGTCTGTTGATTTGCTTTACAGAAGTAACTTGTGGTTGCTGTGCTTCTGAACACTGTGACCCTGATTTGTCAAATGTATTGGTCACCCATGGCAGACAGTGTTTGGTGGAGCTCCCTGATTAAAACAAGCTTGAAAGCAGGAGTGGCATCCACTTCCAAAATAGCTTGCCTCTGGAAATCTTATGAACTTGGAGAAATGAAGAAAGTTATACAAGTGTTCAGGTCTTTCATTCATACATTCCTACATAATAAGGGGGTTGAGGGTCCAGGCAAAGCTGTCCTGTGCTACTTCAGGTGACTTGGTGTTAATAACTGTGTACATATAGCTTTAACAAGGCTCAAGAGCGGGACCTCCTGTGGAGTTTCATGAGTTTTGGATTAACTGTCTGTGGATTGGTGCAAGGAGCTTATGCTAGGGGCTACAAGGGCTTTGCAACTTATGAGGTTAATTAGTTATGATTTGGCCCAATAGGCTTAAGGAATAAACTTGAGGTTAAAGGGTAGAGTAGATTGTCATTTCTTCCCCTCGGTCCTTACCAGTGACGTGTAGTCTGAAACCATAAGTTTGCCCCTCTCTCCATTTATTCCTTTGCTGGGCTTTTAGCATCTGGAATGTGATCGGATTGCATCTTTGGAGAGACTTGCAGTTTTTCTGGTGGGCTAGGGTTATTTTAAAAGAAAAAAACTGGTCTTCCTGTTTCCAGGAGGCAGAATTTTCACAACCCCACAAGGCACAGTGTGATATTGTCCCTTCTGGTTACAATGGGGAGGACCACTAGCTGTAAAGATGTGGAACCTCATACCTTTTAATGCCCACTCAAATATCAGATTCCCAAACCCCAACACCCTGTTGTTGTTGTTGTTATGTGCCATCGAGTCACTTGTAACTCATGGCGACCCTATGTACAAGAGCCCTAAATGCCATTCTATCCTGTGCCAACCTCGCCGTCTCAAACACACTCATTCCCACCACTCCACTCACAGAATCGATCCATCTCATCTAGGGTCTTCCTCTCCTGCACCGTCCCTCCACTTTCTTGTTGAAATTTATAACCTCCTCTTGACTCGGATGCAGAGGTTTACTGACAAAGTCACCGTCAGCAGAGCTAGTGTTTCTGTCTCTCTAAGTTCCCATCTGAACATCTGAGGCATATGGAGGTTGGCCCTCAGTCCTCTTATAGCTAGCAGAAGTATACATAGAATTAGGAGGCGATTTTTCTAAACCGGTCTGATTCTCCTGTGGGGTGTGATTCAGGTGGGTCCAATGAATTCACACAACTCTGACAGTTGGGGTGGTCAAGACCACAATGTAGAAGCCCTTCCACTGGGATTCTAAATTTCCAGAGCAGTGTCTGCAGACTAGGACAAAGTCTCTTGGAAAGAAGAGGTGCAGTGGCACATCCAGTGATGCCTCTGGTGTAGAATGGGTGGCCTGGATTTGGGTCTGGATCTCCTTTTGTACTTGCTGGAAAGTCTGTAAAGACTGGATTGGTTTAGAGTTAAATAATTCAACAATGGCCTCTGGCTTCACACTTCGTAAGAGGGGTGGGGGTCTCCCAAACTTGATTTCAAAAGGAGTAAATTCACCTTGTATGGGGTACACTTTGCCCTCAGTAAGTCCCAGGGAAGGAGCCTCACCTACCCTTCGCCAGTCTCCAAAATTAGTTTGGTCAAAGTGTTGTTGATATTTCAGTTTATTCTTTATACCTGTCCTGAGCTTTGAGGTCTGTAGGCACAGTGTAGCTTCCACTGTATCCCTAGTGCTTGGGCCATCAGTTTTGACAGAGAGGCTGTGAAGACTGGACCATTATTGGACCCTAGTGAGGTGGACAAACCAAATCAGGGGAGTATTTCTTGGAGCAATTTCTTGACCATTACTTGAGCCATTTCTGACTAGGTGGGGAAAGCTTCTACACACCCAGAAAAGGTGTCCACCATGACAAGGAGGAACTTATATCGTTCTTGTCCTTTTCCTAATTCAGTGAAATCTATTTCTCAGCTCTCCCCTGGTTGAATACCCCACATTCTCTTCCCTTCCCACTTCTTCTGATTTGTGGAATTCACTAAAGCACAGCTTTCACAGAGTGAGGTAATGTCTCTTTCCTTTCTTTGTTGTTGCTATTAAATATATATATTTTAAATTTTTCTACTAGTTTATTTACAAAATTAAAATACAAATTTGAACAAATTCTTTCAATTTCCTTCACCTCCCACCCACCAAATTGTACTGTTTCACTGAGGTGGGAGATGGCAAATCACCTTTTAAGCAGTTCCTGCAGTTTTCAGGAGCCCAGGTTGGTGGAGTTGTGGAGGTGTTGAATCAGAGTTGTGCTCAGGCTAGAAGGGATAGCGATGTGCCCATCTGGTGACCTCAGCCATTCTTTCAGGTCTTCCTTTCCCCCTTGGACCTTAAAGCATTCCTTCTCCTCAGGGCTATACATGGGCTGAGGGGGCAAGCTGGGTTCAGGATACACAATTAGGATGTCTAGTGGCCCCATTGGTTTTAGGGCTGCTTCCTGGGCTGCAAGGTCAGCAGCTCAATTACTTCTGGCCTCCAGAAATTCTCCTTTCTGGTGCCCCCGACAATGCACAATGGACTGTTGGATTGGGAGGTGAATAGCTTCTAAAAAGGCATAAGGGATGAACTAAACCACAGTTTCTCTGAAAAATGGGAAGCAGTATGGAAGCAGGAGTGACATCCACTTCCTAAATAACATGCCTCTGGAAACTAGGAACTATGATAAATGTCCATAGTTGTAGAGGGGCTTCAAACCTTTTGTTCATTGGATTGCTATGAGTCGTGCTTGACTTGAAGGCAATCATCAACAACAACAATAAAAACAGGCAGGAGAAGGCCTGAAAAGAGAACTTCTGCTTGAGCAATAGAGACAAGAGTGCACAGAAGGTGTTAAGTGCCGTAGAGTTACAGACATCCCATAGAAACCCTATGAATGAAAGTCTTAAACACAAAACTTTCATCTTTTCTCAAAGTTCATAGAGTTTCCAGAGATACAAGGCCAAAATATAATCAGCTCACACCCTATTGCAAGCAATAGCCACACCCTAGTCTCATCCCCAAACCAGAAAACATGCCTCTCCAGAATCGGGCCATTTGGCTCATTTTCCCAGCCTTGAAATAGCCCTAGACTGGTGGCCAAAAGCCTTTGTAAATACAAGGCTTTGTAAATACAATACAAATCCAATTAGCTCACACCTTATTGTAAGCAACAACAGGTGTTAGATGATGTAAAAGGCTTCTCACCACAAGAGGGAGCTCATTGTCAGAGATCTTAAAGAAGAATTGCGATCACACCTGAAATGGGCAGAATTGCTGCCCTGTCCTATCAGGACTCTTTGGTGGTGGTGGTGGTGGGGTGTTGCAGTAACAAAGAACAGACAAAAAAGCCAGCTTTCCTGATCAGAGAGCCTCACTTTATCAGGCTTCTCTGAGGGGAGTCTGGGTCATGTTCGACCTCTTCCCCAACTTGAAGTAGAAGGGGGGCCTGGATGGGGTTAACTTTCATTCCCAGAGAGGAGCACCAATATACAGGTCATTCATAAAACATTGCCATTCCCTGGTTAATTATATAGTTACAACAACCTAACATTCACTAAGAAAAGACTCATATGATGTAAAAAAAGAAGCAGTCTGCCTCAGTTATCATAAGAAACCAAAATAACCTTTCTTCTAAAAAAAGCAGACCCAATGAACACCCCAGATAGAGAGAACCAGAAGAAATATGTTGATGTGTACTTATTTGAACAGCTACAGAAAAAGATGCAAATAATAAAAATTAAAAGATAGGAAAAAAATATACCAAGCAAATGGCAACCACAAAAAAAAAAAACCACCTAAGAGTAGACATACTTTGGATATGTTGTAAGGAGGGACAGCTCCTTGGAGAGGGACATCACGCTTGAGAGGGTGGAGGGACAGTGCAGGAGGGGAAGACCCTCTATGAGGTGGATTGATTCAGTGACTGGGGTAATTGGTATGGGTGTGTCAGAGGCAGTGCGATGGGCACAGGATAGAGCAGGGTTTAGGGCTGTTGTACGTAGGGTCGCTATGAGTCGCAAGAGACTCGATGACACATAACAACAACAACAACAAGAGTGGCAATAGTAATCTCTGATAAAATAGACTTCAGAATGAAAACCACCATAAAAGATTACTGTTGATGGGCACTTCCGAATGCGGTCATGGCAGAAAGGTGGGCGTAGTGCGTCCCTCCCCTCCCACAAAGAGCTCCCATTCTCGACACCAAGGGCTAAGTAAGCGTGTGTCAGGAATTGTCAATCATTTGATTGAATGCTTAAGGCCTCGGGAAAAGCCTGGAGAACAAAGGAAGAAACTTACTGTGCCTAACAATTAAGAAATGGCGGAAGTGAAGTCAATGTTTCGGGAAGTTCTTCCAAAACAAGGGCAGCTGTCTGTAGAAGATGTAAATACAATGGTGCTGTGTAAGCCTAA